ATCTCCTATTGCTTTTTTGAGTCGAGGGTCTCCTGGAAACAGCCTCTCTACCCTTCGGGGTAGAGATAAGGTCTGCGTACATATTACCCTCCCCAGACCCCACTTGTGGGATTTTACTGGGTCGTTGTTGTTGTTGTTGTTGTTGTTGTTGTTTTACTTTTTGTTCCCTTTTATTGTAACCTGACCTTAGTTTTGCGAATACATTCAGTTTTATGGTAATAAAGGCGAGAGACGCGAGAGAATCCAAAGTTCGAGGGGCACATAAGGTCAGTTACAACTTACAAGCAAATAACTAGATTACATAGTTGAAACCAATGTTTTAAAAGGTGTGGGGGTAAGGCGAGGTATTTTACATATACTTCAGCAAGACGTAAGTTCCGAGGCACGGGGCGTAAGCCCCATAGATATTTAATTTTTAATATTTTATAAAATAATATAATTACAGTAAATATTTATAAACATGTAAAATTCCATAAAAATTTAAAGAAAACTATAAATATGTATATATATATATATATATATGTGTGTGTGTGTGTGTGTGTGTGTGTGTGTGTGTGTGTGTGCGCTCCATCGCCACAAAAACTTGTCAAAACAATCTATTATATGCTACTTACAAGCACTAGTAACTTGAGTGAAAAAGAATAAAGTTTTTTACATGAAGGAATAAAAAGGATGATTAACCTGCAATTTGAACTTTGAACTTGCTGCTATGAAGGAGAATGGAGTTCTCTTTGTATTTGTAAAAATATTGAATATTCGGTTATTTTTGGGAGATATTAGCAGACTAGCGGAAGAGACAAAGAATTGGGAAAGACCATAAATTAGGGCTTCAATCAATAAGAAAGGTCTTACATTTTAAATTTAATACATTTCAGTTCCTTTTTAAAACTTTTAAGTAGAGCTCTCAAAACGGGCCAACCCAGCCCAAGCCTCACGGGCTTTTCAATTTGGTGGTCTAGGGCGGGCGGGCCCCTCATCTAAATGGGCCTTAAAATGACCAGCCCAACCCAACCCTAAGAAGGCCGCGGGTTAGGGCGGGCTGGCCCTTCAATTTCTTTTTAGAATTTTTTTTTGTTGATATCTTTAGATATTTCTTCGTGACATAGTTTCTTAATCATATAAATGACTTCTGTTTGTTTAGAGCATACAAGAATCTTGATATTTGACAAGGAATCTCATAATTGAAATGCAAATTGTATATCTCTAACTCTTCTTTTTTAACGTTACATGAATACTTTTTAAATATTTTTCTTTCACTTTTCTCATGTTCAGGGATTATTTCAATAAGTTTATATGTTGAGGTTTTTTAATTTAGGTTTAACATCATTTGCTAATTTTATAATTATAGTCCATAAAAATTTTAAAATTCATGAAATTTGTTAGTATTATTAATTTTCTTTGGGTATTAAAAATTGATCTTTTTTTAAACTGAAGAGCAGTTTAATTATTAATAATATATTAAAGTAACCAAATTAATCATTGGTCACTTAAAGTAATATTTTCTTTTGAAGAAAATTATTATTGGTCACTTAAAATGTTCCTATTTCGTTGTTAATTAAGCAAAAAAAAAAACTAATCTTGTCATACTACAGGCATATCAAAAATCTTAATTCTAGTTGATATGGACGTGTAAATGAGCAATTTAAGGTTAATCATTGAAGATTATAGTTAATAATTTTTTTAGTTTTTATTTTTTAAAATATTAAATATTTAAATTTGAATTTAATTAATTTTTGGCCCACGAGCCGGCCCAGGACCAGCCTCGGTCAAGCCTCGAGGGCCAGCGGACTGACTTGGGCCGGGCTTATAAGCCTCAATTTTAAATGGGCTAAAAAAATTCCAACCCAACCCTATCCAAGTAGCGAGCTGGGTTGGGCTGACCCACGGGCCAAACCCATTTTGATGGCTCTACTTTTAAGTAACTACAAACTGACTTTTGAGAATTATGGTATTATATGAAGGACATATTCAACAAATTTTATTATAATTTTAAAAAGTCTTTGGGGATTACGCCTAACTACCAAAACGTGCCTCAAACGCTCGGGCGTACGCCCCGAATTATTGGGTGTCCGCATCTTGAGATTTTCACCCCACACCATCGCCTCAGGGCATTTTTGGTGTGCCTCGCCTCAGGACTCGCTCAGAAAATACCTTTTAAAATATTGGTTGAAACAAAAAAATTGACAATTATGTCCAATAAGGAAGACCACTATAAATAATAGCACCAGTGGACCTTAACCTAGTAAAACGAAGGCAATGAAATAGCAAGTGCTTGGGGGAACTCCCGAGGTTACTAGGTTCTGTCATACCATTTCATGCCTTAAAAACTATCATTCGTTACTCAAACATAATAAATTAGTATAGTTTGATGTAAACATCGGGTGACTAAGTTTTTACCATACTAATAATGCATCACCATATAGAGGTTTCACCAAAAGTATGTCTGAAAAAACATCATTGACAGTCCACTAAACTTCGGAATGCAAAGGACACAGTCGTACCTGGCAGACCTTGTATTTCTATAAGAGATTGTTTCCATAAGAAATTTATTTTCTAAATAGCAAATCTTTAATAACCGGGGTCTGCATAACTGTAAGACGTTTCTTCCAAATCTTTTTCTTTTCAATTTGGATGCCTTGGTTCTAAAATTATGAACTATACCTTCTTTATAATAGTGTTTTGCAAATTACTTTTCTCCAAGGCATTCTCAAACATTTCAAAGCAAACATTGACTGACACACACAGATTGATTTTGCCTCAAAACAACACATCCTATATCAAAGCCAACCTGCCTAAGCCTTAACAAGACAAACCTATCTAAAGTATAGCGAGTACAAACTCACAAGAAACTCTTGCAATAACAACAAAAGCCACACAATCTATATCTTATAACTTGATCCGTTTTCTAACATTAACAGTAGGAATATGGACAAAATGAAGTTTTGTTCTGTCAGTGATCACCTTCTTACTTCTTAGGAGGGTACTACTTCCCTGTCACATCGGATCTTGCTGAATTACCGCTTCCATTCTGCTCGAGTCATCTTATCTGAAATGGTAAAGGCAAAAGTTAATCGCATAACGTCAAGTAGAAGCATTGCATATGGGTATGCACTAAATCATTAGACTCTACCTCTTAACTGAAACTCCAAAATTAAGCACACATTGGTTTGAGGATACTCAGAATTTACTAAATGAAAAAGAAGCTAAGATAAACTTGAATCCAAATTCATGGGGTTGCTATTCCGTTGGATCAACGATATTGCTCCAGGATTAGTCAAGAAACTAGAAATCTCCCTATTAACCATAAAGAGCTGATCTACTTCAATGGTTTCTTTTTATCAGGAGCTGATCTACTTCAATATTAAGCAAAAAAAGATTAATAAAGAGGTTCGCGATACATGCATTAGTCTGTTAATAAAACCGTAGGGCAGTTTTCTATTGTTAAAGCTTAAAGTTTACTCGCTCCGGTTCACAATAAGCGACCATTTTATCTTTGGCACACCCATTAAGGAAATACGAACTCCTAGAGAAAAAAAGATATATTCACTAAATTAACCTTAATTAATTGTTATCTTGACACATTGGAATATGTAAATAAGGGAAATTTTGGAAAATAAAATTAATTCCTTCTTGATTATGTAAATGGACACTTATTTTGGACCAGAATAAAAAGGTAAAATGGTCACTTATTGTGGACTGAAGGGAGTATTCATTTCAGTCAATAATGCACAAGTTGTATTCTGTTTAAAGGATCTTGTTTGTTTGTTTTAATAGCCATACTCCATAAAGTGAACTAATCATTTGAGAATTCAACCTTTATCAAAAAGCACCACTTGGCACTTAGAAATACTCACCAGTACCATCCCTTGAAGATGATAAAGATCTATCAATCTTGATTCCTTCTTTTGCACTAGCTAGGACCAGCCTCTGCACCCGCGGCGATGAACTCAGCTTGCCATTCATTGGGGATGGCAAAGAATGACGTCTACTTAGGGCATTCTTCTCGGACACATCTTGCCCAAACCTTGGTGAGGCTTGCTCTTTCAACTTAGCCTTAGCTGACTTGGTTGGAGCCATATAGCTGGGCACCTTTCTTGCCGTTGGCGTACCTGCATCTACATCATGGCTTGCAGGTAAAGAAACTCTTCTGTTAGTCATGTTACTCTCATTTCCTTCATTATCATGGTTAGTGCAAGAATTGTCATTTGCAACAGGACTATCCTCTCTGTTAGCAGTGATCAATTTTTGATGCATATCAGATGGAGAAAAACTATCAGCAGCGTCAGAAATTGATTTGTGATGCGTATCAGAAACAGAAAGGCTATCCAAATGAGTGATAGTATCATCCATCACTAGTGTTTCTGAAGGTGTCTCCACATTAGTAGAATTTTCTGTTGTCCCTTCTAAACTTTTCAACGGTTCGCCAGATGTCATGCTCCCCTCAGGAACGAGAGCACTTGATGTTGTGTCATGATTTTGCCTTTTCCTCTCAGTGTCCGCCTCAGACTGAACAGGTTTTTCCAAAATAGGGCTGGACACTTTCTTTAAATTATGCTTTACTTTCTTAATCTCACTTCCTGGATTCTGAAGAACAGAGTTTACTAAAGGAATTGATTTCTTCTTTTCTGACCCCGAACTGGAATGATTTGAACCATTCTGCGTCTTTCTAGAAAGCACTTTCCGTCCATTGTGCTTTGACACAGCCATGTCTGCTTCAACTTTTTTATGCTTTGTATTTGAAAGCGTTTTTGGTTTGGACCGTGGTCGCCAAATATGTGATAAAGTCCAACGGACTAACCATTCCTGACTAGAATTTGGTTCCTCTGGACTGTATTGGAGGTGTAGAGGCATAACAGTAGGTGATGAACCAAGTAGCTGAAATACACCACATGACGAGCATTGATTAATTAGTGTATCAGTAAACTTGATAACAACCAAGTAAAGACGAGATAAGTGGGTTCTTTCATTCAGTGCTTGAAATTTCTTGATTTTAGCAATAAGAGGAGTTTGCATGTCTGATTAATATATGCAAAAGGTCAATATCTGGGTAACTGCTTTCTGGTTATTTACATTTTACGGATAACCACTTTTCATATTGGCATTAAGTCCAGCGAACCGAACACAGTAACAGTATGAAAAACCCTTGGTGCGAAAAAATAGCAAGAAGTAGGATGCTTACCTTTGTAGCGAACTCATTCTTGGATAGCTCTTGTGCTAGTTTGGATGCATTATTTCGTTGATACTCGAATTGTTTGGAATCCTAATGATGAAAGGTACCATTAAAAACTATAAACCATAAAATAAGTTATAGCAAAACAGTTAAAATGGTACATTGAACACCCTAGCAGCATAAATTGTGCGAAACTTGGATTCGTGGATGCTGTAATTTCAAATCAAAATAAGCGTTGATAATTAAAGATGTCAAAAGATTATAGATCTTAGCAACATTAAGTCAAGTTGGCAGTTTACCTGTTGTCCAAGTCCTCGTTTGGTTATCACTTCACAGCCAATACTGGAACCCCTAACAATCTGGCCACGTGCATGTGCTTGAAGCTTGACAATGCCATGTATACAGTATAATGTGGCAACAGCCTGCCTTCTGACCAGATGGCCGCGTATGGCAGCTTGTAGCCTTATGACGCCCTTGAGCCTAAAAAATGCTCGACGAGCCTTCAGAGAGACCATATTGCCATTCGTACAGGTTAAATGTTCAAGTTAAATGAGAAATGAGCAAAATTCCATAGAATAAGTTCTTAAACATCAATGGTAGCAAGATCAAGTCAAAGTGAAATAGTCAAGTCCTTTAACACCCAATCATTTGCAAACTTAGGAAGCACATGCAAAGAGAAAAAGATAAACTATCAGTCAGTCGAACTTATCTATACATAATTCATAGGTGGGACCGGTATAGTAATTCAAGTCTAAAAGGCAGCTCAGGCAAAAAACTTATTTGAAACCAAGTCATTGAACATAATGAAGACAATCAATAAAACCTTCAAGGTGTATATATAAACACTACTAGCCAAACATCGTAATGTCTTTGTTTCATTTGAACTATGCACGTGCGACGACTTTCTAGTCTCTTAACGTCAAACAATATTTTCTGTCTCTAACAATTCTAACAGAAAATCAAGACCTATTCATACATGTTGCTGGATGAACAATACAAATGCATTAAAGAAGAAACAGATTGAACAGCTCGCACATTCGTTAACCACAAGAAAACAAGCATAGTACAGTAAAAACTATGAAAGTAACTCGCTACCACAATATTAAAGTGCAAGCGGAAAAATACCAAAAGGTAGAAGACAAAGCTTGCGGAAGAAAATAAACATAATTCAGTATCGTAATTGTGATAAAGAACAAAGAGAAAACCAAATATATTTTATGACAGCAGGTAAATCTTTATGGTTAGAGTAATTACCAGATAACCCCTAAAAATAGCTTGTGTCTTCGTAGTAGCTTCCTCAAGCCTCATTTTCTCAGTATCCTCGGGTAAGGTAAGACATGTATTTTGTTCATCTTCATCTTGCTTCATAGAAGGGAGACTCACCTCATCAGTGACCCCTCCTTTATCAAGGTTTGAGTCCTCTTTTGTTCCACCAGCACTACCAGCAACTAGCTCAGATATCAAAGGCGGATGGACAGACAAACCAGATAATGCCGCGTTGGTGGAAATTACTAATGCTTTCTCATTCGAAGATTTCTTTAATGAAAGAAATATAGAGAATAATAACTTATTAGAAATTACATGAATAAAATAAACCCCAAATAAAAAAGAGGGGTAAGCTGCATGAACATGTAATACTTGTGGAAAATCCTTCTCAAAAAAAAATATTCTTCCAAGTGGCTCAATTCAAGTTTATTGCATTATGATGATAATACTGCTTTCCTGGTTGCAGCATGTCACCAGTGACCATAGGCATTAAGGCAGAAGATAAGGTTTATTTTAAATGGTATTCACAACAGTAATTAGACAGCTTGCCTTATGGCTTGCCTCAAAAGAATGTCCACTTTCCTAAAAAAAAGTACTACCATGGTTTACGCCATACAAAGGTTTTAACATTAAGGGCAACAATTTTACATTTTTCAATATAAACCTTTTCCACTTAATTCTAAAAGGATCAAAAAGGAGCTAGCAAGTTTTGAATACACTAAGGGGTCGTTTGGTAGGGTGTATAAGAATAGTGCGTAATAAGGTGTATTAGTAATGCATGGATTAGTAATGTATGTGTTAGTAATGCAAGCATTAGTTATGCAGATATTATTTCTTATCTATTGTTTGGTGTGGTGTAATAAAATTATAATGCATTACATAATTTTTAAGAAAAATAGTTGTTTACAAAAATGCCCTCCATATTCTCTAGCTTTAAGAGACTTTAAGGACAATTTTGTCTTTAACCATACTAATGCATGCATTAATAGCCTTGGTATTACTAATGCCATGGTTTTCTATGCATTACTTATACATAGGATAATACCAAGTATGATGTATAACTAGTACAAGTATTAGTTATACATAGGTTGAAAAAATGTACCAAACAAGGTATTAGTAATGCATAGAGCTAATGCTTGCATTATTTTTTCTAATACCTCCTACCAAACGACCCCTAAATATTAAAAACGTACTACCACATTTACACAGGCATATACAAACAAAAGGCATAACCAAAGAGAACTTCAATTCGAAACAAAATTGAATCATCTATCTTACTTTTGATGTGCTAGATTTGGAAGACTTTCTCCCTGCCAGCAAAGACCTGAACCATTTTCCAGGAGATTTTCCCATAGTAATAAGTTTGACGCCTACAATGTAAGAACTTTGTGATAGAAAGCCTGGAAGTTTCAAAAGAATGCTATATCAGGTAAGCAAATGCAATCTTGCAGCAATAAGTAGGCATAAAAGTAATATAATCCCTTAATGTGGTTTAAAATGTTCATTTATGGTTTCATTTTCCTGGAACCAGAGCACAATAGTGCTTCTGCATATATAAATGTGAAGTAGCATAATGCAACAACAACAACAACAACAACCCAGTATAATCCCACTTAGTGGGGTCTGGGGAGGGTAGTGTGTACGCAGACCTTACCCCTACCCTGAGGTAGAGAGGCTGTTTCCAAATAGACCCCCGGCATCCTTCCTTCCAAGAACTTCCCACCTTGCTCTTGGGGAGACTCGAACTCACAACCTCTTGGTTGGAAGTGGAGGAGCATAATGAAAGTTTAGATTTCCGACACAAAGCCTACCATCAGTGATCAATTTAGTTACTTAAAAGAGGATTCATTGTCAATATATCCTATTTTTGAAGGACCTAGAGCCTAATGGGGTTATTGTCATGCCTACAAATGAAAGAAGAAAAGCAAAATCACAACAATAAGAAGTTTCTGAAAAACACGTGAAAAGGCCATGTTATATATTCACGAATTCAGCACCTATCCAATGGAATCCTCCAAACACAATCTCTTCCAGAAGAGAAGAAAATCAGATGCTTCGCAAACTCGATGAGTGTAATAGAGAAACTTCCTTCCTATAAGGTTGTGTTCCCTTCCTCTTTTGAGGTTTTTGAGAGCGGGGAAGGAAAATGTTTACATACTCTAAGCCTCGTAGTCACCTATAACACATTGAACAATAAGTTCTTTGACATTATCTTACTTGCCTCATAAGTGAGAAACTACATATGCAGATCACTTTTAGTGATTAATGTTTGACTTGCAAATAAAAAGGATAAAACTAAACTATAATAAGAACTCTTATGGGCCTTGGAGCATATTTAATTAAAGCTGCCCGAGCTTCCATCAGAAACAGTTGGATCAGGATATCAGATTTTGTGCTCAAATGAGTACCACTTTATATAATAATTATCCAGGGAACTATATATTTTACACTCTGAAACTCCTTAATCACAGTTGATCAGGCAGGATTTCAGATATCCAATTCACTGATGAGAGGCAGAGACAAATTTCCATTGCAACAGTTTCATTGTCTCAGTATTGGACTACATAGTGTTGTCGAAACACGCTTAAGCCCTGAAGCGAGGCACAAAACATGTTGAGCACTTCGCCTCGCTTAGCGGGCGCTTAAAGCATACTTTTCCTTGCGAATGAGCATAATCTTGAAGAGGCGCACACTAAACAATTGATATTTTACATTATCGTAATTCTTTTTAATTTCTTTGTCCATATATTTGTTATTCATGCTTATAATCATTAGTCTTGGACTACACATACATATTTGTACTTTTTCTCTATTTGCGCCTTTCTTCTTAAAGCCCATGCTTTCTTTGCGCTTGTGCCGTTGATACCACTACTATAGATAGAAAGGTTCATAGTTCATTTCAATGGGGGACTGGGATATCAAAGACCCTCATCAACTAAACCTAGTGCTTTGTGCCAAATTCAAACTAAGAAGCGCCATTCTCCAACCCAGTCCTTAGAATGTTAGAATGTTATTTCCCCAAAAGAAGGTTATGAGCTGCCAATCAAATAAGAGATGATTCTACCAGAAGCATCTGTCAATTCCCCGAGGCTTTCATCTCACTCCAACCAGAATATACTAAGAGACACACCATGTCTAAGCTTTATCGGCTCTTAATTCTCAAGATCCTTCTAGTTGAACAATTATCATTCAACTAAAAAAAACTATTCCCAGCATGCTCAAAATAGACACGGCCATTAACCCTTGGTTACATCATTAATATATCTCTCCAGCTCAGCCTATTATTTAGAAGTCAAACAATGATTATTCTGTAGTCTACTCAAAAATAAAATAGAAAAGGATAAACAAGAAGCTGACAGGCTGATAGAAAGAAACCACCTAGTCTTGTTTGCCTCCGTTGGGATTTGAATTTTTTTTATTTTCCTATTTATTTCTAAAATTTAGCAAGTGTAACCATATTTTAAAATTTGAAGGAAAAAAAAAAGGTAATGCCCTTTTGCAAAAAACCCTATCACCAAATCACTCCAGGCATATCTTTGAGGATACCCAATTTCCAATTAAATCAGAACCCAAAATGCAACAATGTGGAAACAGTTAAAGTGTACACAGATTAACCCTAGCTCATATAAGTAACAAATATTACTAGTAATATCTAACAATGACAATATCACAACAATGTAGTTCAGGTTTAATCATTAGCTTCGACGTAAGCACAAGAAGCCAACATTTTAAATTACTATTTAATGTTCATTGGATCTAGAACTTACCTCAACAGAAAAAATACTGTAACTTCAACAAAAACCCTTCTTTAGCTGCAAAAAATAAAAATGGGTTCTACATAAGAACTGCAAAAAATTAAAAGGGTCAAGAGAAAAAGTGCAAAAAAAAAAAAAAATGAAAAAGACTTTAAGCAGCTAAAGAATTTAACTATATTTTACTGAAAGATCTGAAAAAGAGTTTTCAAGAAAGAGAGAGGTTTTAGTTTTTATCATTTTTTCATGATGAAAGAGGAATAGAGAGAGCCAAACGGCACTTAGCAGGGTAAAGTTTTTTTAAAAGCACCTGGAAAATTGGTACACTACAGCACTACTCTGCCTCTGTATTTGTTTTTGCCTGTTTCAGTTTTCAAGATTTTGGAAATTACCCAAAATGTTAAAAACTGAATGTTGTCTTCCAAAGAGGTTGCATTGGGCTTAGTTGGGGGGCTTTGTTGGGAGAAATTCAAAAATAGCGAGATTTACAACTGGTTGTTCAAAAATTACTCAGTTTCAAAAGTAATTGAAATTTAGCCACATTTCATGTAAAGATAAATCAGAGCGAAAACATTATTCAAAACCCGGAAAATACGTCAGTATATTATGCTGGAGTTACAACATAAGTATACTTAAATTCCAGTATATTATGCTAGAGTTACAACATAAGTATACTTATGATGGAATTCCAGCATAATATAATGAAGTTCCAGCAAGCATATCTGTCCAGCATAATATACTGGAGTTTGGAGCACCGGTGCTCCAGTCTCCAGTATATTATACTGGAGCCAGCATAATATGTTGGAGCTAATACACAGGTGCACTGAACTCCAGTATATTATACTGGACCGGTCTCTGTTGCAGCAAAATAGTGGCTATTTTTCATTCACTTAGTAAACGCTGGCTATTTTTGAATGACCGGTCCGAAAATTTGCTATACCGTGCTATTTTTACGGTTTTGTTGGATCATTACTCTCTATAGCTTTGGCTCAAATGATTGAGGTCTCAGATTTGAGCTTGTTTCACTTTTGGCCCGTATCAGAAATTATTTATATTTAATAGCCAAAAAGTGTATATAATTTGTATATTTTTTGTATATAACATACAGTATATATACAAAATATATATATATATATTGACTATTATTTTTTAGAGCAGCTATATAGTGTCATTTCCCCCTCAAATTTTGGCCCAATATTGATCACCAATCACCATTTTCTTTTTCAAAATTATTTTGAATTATTTTCAGTATGTCGGAAATAGTCTATCTGCCTTTATGAGGTTTGGATAAGTTATGTCTATAGACTATCATCCCCAGATCTCACTCGTGAAATTACACTGAGTATATTGTTGTTAATTACTTGATCACCAATTCAAGATTTCTTGAAAGCCTCAATTTAGAAAGCGATCTTTACACAAACAACCGGTTGGAAATACTGTTTACTCTTTTTGGTCGGTACACATAGATTATATATTGATTACAGTGGTGGACCCAGGATTTTGTGCAAGCGGGTTCAATCTTAGAAGTATATAACTTTAGTCGTAAAATAGTAGTTATCAAGTGGGTTCAAATAAATATTTATACAAAATTTACACAGCTTTAATCCTAATTTATACATATACACAATATTATTTTTTGGTGAAGCGGGTTTAGTTGAACCCGCTAGCCACTACTTGGGTCCGCCACTGACTGATTATACATAGTTGTACACATATTATATGTGAATTGTATATAATTATATATTCGCCATCTATTTTTAATTTAAACGCTTAGGTACACAACTATTTAGGTTAATTCTTCATTTACTGATATATATTCATCCGTATGTAATGTGAAAGTGACATACAAAATATTCTCTATCACTTAAATCATATAAATTGAACATGTAGAAGACTATACGGAATAAATTAAAATTGATCTCTCTATAATTCGAGAGTTCTCAATAGAAATGTCCAGACTCTCGAGGATTACATAACCAATTTATGTTGCATTTCCTTGCTGCGACTTCAAATCTTCAATATTACAATTTCAAATCGAAGTTTCATGCTACGAGTTTGAATTTAGTAATTTTCAAACAAGATTATCAGCTAAAGCTTTTATATACATGTTAAGGTTTTGCTTGAACATAATTGTGAAAGAGTTTTAACACTTTTCGTATGAAAATAGATCAAAAAGTGTAGAAAAAGGTATCATTTTTTAAAGAATTGAAATTTGTTTTAACATAAAAGCTAATCGCACAACACATTTCTTGAAATATTGATTTGTCTATGAAATAAATGGGACACATCCGTGGACAACCAAAGTTATAAAAGTGAGACAGTTTGAAACAAATAAAGTAGATAAAATAAGCTAACTAAGAAATCAATGATTTTATATTTTCTCCTTCTTTTGTCAACATTGGGCAAAATAAGCTTCAACTAAATGTTGACTCTCGTAAAGATTTCCAGTTCGTGGATAGAGCTTGGATAACTTTAAGGAAATAGATGGGAAAAAATTGCTTTATTCTAAAAGAAAGGAATTTAAATCTTTTTTGGATCGTTATTCGATTTATATTTGGCTTTTTTGACTTCTTTGTTCTGAAAAACAGCTAATGCTGTTTTATTCCTTCTTGGATCAATCTGACTAAGATATATGAAAGAAATAAATTATTCTTCAATATCACAACTAATAATAGATTCTCAAGAATTATTCAAATATATATCATACATTTAAGTGATTCTTTATGAAATGCAAATTATTCAAAATGATTCAGTCCATTATTTACTTCGCTATAGCTCAGGGTCTCATTACAAAAAATGGAGGCATTCCCCCAGTCAAGTGCTGATAAATTGCAAGGAATGAGAAAACCTCAAGAATAGCGTTAAATATTTTATTTTCCTAGTTGAATCTGATGGACGAAAACAGCTAATATTGTGCACCTACAGCCATGGTCGCTCTCTCCCATTTGATAGAACTAATGGAGTTGATCAGTCAGTTGGATCAATCATTTTCTCAGGAACTACAAGTTGATCAAACTCTTCAGATTTGAGGACTCCTAGATTGAGAGCAGCATCTTTCAAACTGGTTCCCTCCTTGTGGGCTTTCTTGGCAACTGCAGCAGCATTATCGTAACCAATTTTTGGGTTCAAACATGTGACGAGCATGAGTGACTCGTGCAATAATTTAGCAATCCTCTCTCTGTTAGCTTGAATACCCCTCACACAATTCTTTTCAAAAGAAGCAGATACATCCCCTAGCAATCTTACTGAATGTAGGAGGGCATTAGCAATCATAGGCTTGAAAACATTCAGCTCAAAATGGCCATTTGATCCACCAATTGTGACAGCCACATGATTCCCCATAACCTGAGCACAGACCATCGTGAGAGCCTCACACTGAGTAGGATTCACCTTGCCCGGCATTATACTGCTTCCAGGTTCATTTTCAGGAAGAATGAGCTCCCCGAGACCACAGCGAGGACCACTTCCTAAGAAGCGTATATCATTCCCAACCTTCATGAGGGAAGCCGCTACCGTATTTACAGCTCCACTGGTTTCAACAAATGCATCATGAGCAGCCAGTGCTTCAAACTTGTTTTCAGCTGTTACAAATGGCAAGTTAGTTTCCTCTGCCACTGCTGCAGCAATTTTGATGTCAAACCCTTTCTTTGTATTCAGTCCTGTCCCCACTGCTGTGCCTCCTTGTGCGAGCTGATACATGTGTGGAAGGGTGCACAAGACTCGGTCAATTCCATATTTCACTTGAGTAGCATACCCGCTAAACTCTTGTCCAAGAGTCAAAGGGGTTGCATCTTGTGTGTGGGTTCGCCCGATCTTAATAATATCCTTGAATTCGACTGATTTTGAATGTAGTGAAGTATGCAACTGTTTCAGGTTTGGTAGTAATCTTTTATTTAGCTCCATTGCCACAGCAATATGCATCACCGTAGGAAAGGTATCATTTGAAGATTGCGATCTATTTACATGATCATTTGGATGCACATGCTTGTCACCGCGCTTATGGCCAAGTATTTCAGCTGCTCGGTTTGCAATAACCTCGTTAGCGTTCATGTTACTATGAGTGCCACTACCAGTTTGCCAAACCACCAAAGGGAAGTGGTCATTCAACTTTCCTTCTGCAACCTCTTCAGCAGCTTGCATTATTGCTTTTCCAATAGATCGGTCAAGGCCATATTCCATGTTCACCTTGGCAGCACACTTTTTGAGAATACCAAATGCACGTATGATTGGCTCAGGCATTCTTTCACGCTCACCCCCAATATCAAAATTCTGCAATGATCTTTGAGTTTGTGCCCCCCATAACTTGTCCGATGGAACGAGAATGGGACCAAATGTGTCTTTTTCCTCCCTGAAAGAGGTAGCCATGTCTCTAATTGCTGCTAAACAAACACTGAGCTAGAGATGAATTCACCAACATGGAATAACAAAATAAAGCTTAGAAGCAGAAGATGAAGCTCAGACAACAATCCCCAGCAACAATCGGCTGAGAAAAATCAGCAAGCTCCAAAAAAAAATACTTCTAACAGCTCAAAGACCCTTTAAATTTATAGAAATACTAGATGAAGGAGCAAGGCTTCGAAACAGCTTTCTTTTCCAATTTAAACTTTAAGTAAGTTTGATTTTTGTTTTTATCCAATTGAGAACTAGTATTTTGACTTATAAGAAACAACTCATACTAATTTTTGTTATGTCGAGGAAGAGGCAAACCCGAAAATAAAGAAGATAAATAACACCAAATTTTAACGTGGAAAATCCTTCAAATCAAAGGTAAAAATCACGGGATCACAAACGGGTAGATGTCGAGGAAGAGGCAAACCCGAAAATAAGAAGATAAAGAACACCAAATTTTAACGTGGAAAATCTTTCAAATCGAAGGTAAAAACCACAGGATCACAAAGATCCAAAAAAACTCCACTATAACAATAAGATGGTTACAAAAGTTCTCCAAATTAACTACACAACAAGTGTCAAACACGGAGCAACAATAGCAACAAGAGCAACAACTAATCAATTGAAGAAAGAGGAGAATCCACAAAAACAAAGTTGTTGTTCGAGACTCGAAATAAGATGCTCTATGCCTCCAAATCCGATCTCCACCGTTCAAATTCAAGAGCACGTTGTTACGAACACTCAGTAAAATTTCAGTCCGATCCAACCGTTAACGAATCGGTAAACATGATTTATAGTTGGCTAGTCGGAATAAAAATCTACAGCAAAACAAATATTTTTCTTCTCCCTTCTCTCTTGATGAAAGCTCTTTCAAAAATTACTCTTATGTGCTTAAGTCTTTCAAA